GCTGTGCTCAGGGGTTACTGTGACCAGGTGCTAACACAGGATTGCACTCTGTCACTGGAGAGCCCCGGCTGGTCCTCGCCCTCAGTTAGGCTGTCACTGCGGGTTTGCCCAGACTCCAGACCTTGTTCCCTGTTTTCTCTCTGGACACAGCAGCCTCAACTGAGGGGCGCGATTCTCAAGTCATGAGTGGAGCCTGAGGGCCAGCTTCATGGCCTCGCAGCCTGATTCCTCGAAGGCATCGTTCACCAGCCAGCATAGAGTTCCGTGCTTGCTCAGAGCTAAGGCCTCATGCATTCAGAATTCTGCATTTGTAACAACAGCATAAATATGAAAGGATATTAATACAAACCCCCAAAGAAAGTGACTTTAAATTAGGATGTGCCTCTTAGAGAAATATAAGGTAGGTCCAGCCAGGCGCCCTTGCCAGCTCTTGGCGTGTCGGAGCTTGCTAACCGGCTTTGTCATAGTTAAGGACACGGTGTTGCCTTTCCCTCTGGCTCTCCTGTTCTCACCTAAACGATGAAATCTGTCTTCACCTCCCTTCACCCTCTGCTGTCTTTCAGAGCCATGGGCTCTCCTGTGCTCCTCAGAGTGTTAGGAACCACCTGGCATCTCCTTCCAATGCCAATTCTGCTTCCGCAGATCTTGGTGGGTCCCCGGATTCTGCATTTCTAACCAGCGCCTGGTGACACCTGAGCTGCTCGTCTGTGGACCACATTTTGAGTAGCAAGGGGTTCTAGTATCTTATGTGTGGTCTCAAACATTGCTGTACGAAGGAATCACCCGGGAAGCTAGGTGAAAATTCGGGCTCCCGGGCCTTTTCCGCGTGAATGATGACCTAGTAGGGCGGAGTCAGAGCCCAGGTGATGCTGATGGTCTGTTAGCTGAGCCCTGAAAGCAGTTGCCTTATGAGTGCGGTCTTCCAGCCTTCCTGTCCTTCCTGCCTCGCGTCCATCCTGTGACCATGGGCAGTCACTTCCCTCTCTAAGCCTCGTTTTTCTTTTTTGGAAGTTACTTTGCCATCTCCACTGGAAAGATTATAGAGAGCAGTTATCAAGAGCCTAGCGCGGGCTTTGGGTGCGGTGAGCACTCAGTTACATGGAAGTTGTTAATATTCTCTCCCGTCTGTCTCCTCCTCCGTCCTCCTTTCTCTTGCTGCCTTTCTGACTTGTCTGTCTTCCCTCACGCGACGGGGAATGTTTAATGAATACCTTTTTTCTTTTAACGCAAAAACAGACCAATGGTGATGTTGCTATTAATCCCTTTCTCCCCCAGAGGGCCTGGCATTGAGTCTCAGCTGTCTGTGGTGGTTGCCCGTGAGTTATGACTTGTAATTTGTCTTGGCAGGTTAATTAAAAGTTTAGGTCTTGTTTTAGTGAAGTCATTATGGTCCCACTCTACAATTGTAACTCTCAGGTTTGCTTAACACACAAATTGGAATATGACCCTCCGTTACATGTTGAAACGCAGACTAGAATTTAAGAAGATCTGAGATGTCAGAATCCAGAGTATTTATGTCTGTTTGTAATTAAGTAACAGGAGAAATAAGTGTGTTTAATTTAACAAATGGCTAGATGGTGTACATTTTTGCTTTTCCCTCCATTTAATGCAATCCAGCTGATGATTTTAAAATAAATGAGTTTATCTTTTGCCTTGGGGAGAAAATTCTAAAAGCACTTTGCAAACTGTATACACAACTATATACACACAGAGACCTGATGTTGCCAGAGCTCCCTGTGAACTAGATGCACACACACATACTCACACTCCACTGAAACCAAGTTTTAGAATGAAACATGGCAACTTTATTCAGAAAGAACAGTCTTTCCCCCACATGTGGAGATGCACAATTTGAAGGCAACATTGTTTCTGGTCCTGACACCCTCAGGGTGGGTAGCCTTGCTGACCCCCAGCATTGAATGAAGTAGGAGGATGTAGACCAGTAGCCAAAATCTATTTACCACCGCAGTTCACAAAGGGCCTTCCATACATTCTTTAAGCCTTGCAGTGACTCCATGAGGTGATTATTCTTAGTTTATTTCCACCCCCTATTGCAGATGAGGAATGAGGCCCAGGGATGCTAAGAGAAGAGCCAGGACTTGAATTTGCCTCTGTCTGACTCCAAAGTTTGTGACCTTCCTTCTTTAGCAATCTGCCTCCTTCCCAGAATCAACCCCCCTTTTTTTCTGTATTACACTTACTTCTGTCCTCACCTATTCACTCATGCAACAAGTATTCATTTTTATTATTTTTTAATTTTATTTTTCAATTACAGTTGATTCAATATTATTTTGTTTTAGTTTCAGGTGTACAGCAGAGTGGTTAGACAATCATATACTTTGCAAAGTGTTCCCCCCACCTCATATTTCCAGTACCCATCTAACACCATATCCTATATAATAAAGATGTAATATGCAAATGGTCATTACATAATGATCGACTGCGTAACAACCGGATCACGGATCAGCAGGAGGGTGGATCAGCGAGCTACAAGCAGGCAGTGGAGAGCTACAGGAGGGGGCAGGGCAGCAAGCTATGAGGGGGGTGTGAAGGGAGCTACAGGAAGGCAGGGCAGTGGGCGGAGAGCTACTGGAGGGCAGCAGCAAGCTACTGGCACATGGATTCGTGCGCCGGGCCTCCAGTATAATTATAATATTATTGGCTCTATTCCCTATGTTGTACTTTATATCCCTGTGACTATTGTACTTCTTAATCCCTTCACCTTTTTCATCCAGTCCCCCAACCCCTTTCCCACTGGCAGCCATCAGCCTGTTTTTGTATCTATGAGTTTGTTTCTGTTTTGTTTGCTTGTTTATTTTGCTCTTTAGATTCCACATATAAGTGAAATCATGTGGTATTTGTCTTTCTCTGTCTGATTTATTTCACTTAGCATAATAACCTCTAGGTCCCTCCATGCTGTTGCAAATGGTAAGATTTCATTTTTTACTGCTGAGTGATATTCTATTGTATATATGTCCCACCACTTTTTTACCCAGTAATCTATTGATGGGCACTTGGGTTGCTCTCATATCTTGGCTATTGTAAATAAAGCCAAATATATGCACATAGGGGTACGTATATTCTTTCAAATTAGTGTTTTGGATATTTACCCAAAAGTGGGATCACTAGGTAATAAGGCAGTTCCTTTTAATTTTTTGAGCAAGCCTCATACTGTTTTCCCATAGTGGCTGCATGAATTTGCATTCCCACCAACAGTGTACGAGGGTTCCTG